AATTATTTCTTACTTCCGCGGACTAATTCAATTAGTTATTTGATAGCAGTGCGGTAAATTACGCAAAATAAAATGCAAATTGTCTAATTGGCTAAGCAAAGCAATAAATGCTTAATTTCAATTATTTGAAGTTGTAATAGTTGAAAAATATGAAATTAAATAGAATATCTAAATGCGCAATCATTATTATGCCACAATAATGCACTGGATTTCATTAAAATGTATTGCAAGCACTTGTAAATATTTTGAAAAGTTAAGAAACAGTTAAGCACACGTTTAATACACGCTAACTTAAGTATTAATTTTTTGAGAATTTTATAAGGCTTAAAATATTATAGCGGACAAAATTAATTTGCTAACGAGGCTCGTCATACACGGACGAGAATGCAAAGAAGTAATGACGTCAGGTAAAATGTTTACGGGCCTAAATTACAAGCTTTTAGCTATGCTTAATCAAGGAAATCCTAAAGTGCAATTAATTTCCGCTATTTTCGTCCTACATATCGCGTGATGCCAAATGAAAATGAATTCTTTTTTTAACGTAAAGACGGAGCAAAATGAAAAATGTAGTGAATTATTTAGCACAAAATATAATCAATCTTTAGCAGCAAAGAAAGTAAATGCTTTCTAAATAATTAATAAAATTTTAAGTAATTAATGCAAATTAGCAAATATAATTTTTCATTTATTATATTTAAAATACAAATTAATTAATAATAATTAGCTCAATTTTAAGAATTAATTTGATAATATTTTAGCTTAAAAGTTAAAGCCTTAATTCTTTTCAGTCACTTACGTTAAGCACAGCAGAAGCAAAAAGAGTAAACAACAAATGTTTTTATAAAAATTGGAGAAATAACTTGCTTTTGGCAAAGTGCCAATTTGTCATAGTGATATATTTCAATTTATGTGTAGTTAAGTTTGCTGCAATGAGCATTTTGTTTTGCAGTGAAATCATGATAATCTGAATAGTAGTTATTAATTTTTCTGCTAGAAATATCTTTGAGATTCATTCTGAATAAAAGTATCTGTGAATAAGGTTGATTTTTTTGCTTAAATCATATGTAGATTGGTGCTTTTTTTCTTCCAATTTTTGCTTGAATTATTAATTATTATTATTAATCTTAAATTGTTAATATTACAAAGTAATCAAAAAAAAAAAGATCACTGTAATACAATTTGGTTTTAATTGTTATTCAAAAAATGAAAAGTAGCAATTCTGTTATGGTAGAAAGTAAGTAAAATTAATTTATTACGAGTATACTTACGTTAATTGATTATTGCTTGCTTTTTGCATCTCTGAAGTTTTCGTGAAAAAGTGAAGACAGTTTTTCTCATTTTGTTTCAGGGTAATCATTTTATCCTTAGAATAAAATTTCAGGAAAGTTATAGTGAATTGCCCACAATAAATAGTCAGTTTTAGGTTGAATTGATTGCAAATTCCTTAAGGAAATAAAGTAACTCGTTGAACCTGCTAAGCTTCAGCCAAGTAATCAACGAACATCTGATATATATTGAATAAGTTTAATGTAAGTTTGTTTTATTTGGTTGATTTGATCAAATGTAATATAATGTTCATAGTAAACGGGTAGAAAGTCTATATTTATAGACTAGCTTGTAATCTCATATTCATTTGTCACAGTGATGTGAAAAATAATTATTGGATAATGATATTTTAAGTAATAAGGTTAGCATCTTTATTTCAGGAATCATGTTGTTCTATTTGTAGCTGATTTCTGGTGCATCCAAGTGATGAATTCATGCTTCTAAATTCCTTCTCATTATTAGGGTTTTACGGATGGATTCAATCTAACCACTAAACGAAGTAGTCTCAAAAGTAGGCTTTGCCGTTCTGGATGTATGTATATATGGACCGACGTGAATCACTGGGTTTACATCTAACGGGTCTTGTACTTCTCGCATATACAGCATTATCCAATCAGAGCTATTTTCATTTTATACTCTTCATTGTTTCACTTTACTTAAATGCTGCATTTGCATTCCGACAAATATTCACACTTTCCAGAAATAGTATTACTTTAGCAATTATTTACTTAGTATTACATTTATTTCTGCTACTTATTGCACAAATCACATATGTGCAAATGCATTTAAACGCAGCTACCAAAAGGTTCATTTTTTGTTTGTTATTGTTTAATGACTGTAGAATTAGTGTAAGTTTACGTTTTTAATTTCATTTCAAAATAAAGAAGTACGATATGTTAAATTGCTAGTTTCTGAACGCAAGTTACTGCTTTTTAAAATGCAAGCAGCTCGTGATTAGTATTCTGATGAAGAAACCTCCTTCTTAATTTATTAAACTTTTTAAGGCAGATAATTGAAATGCATTTATTTTTAATAATCTGTTTTTTTTTTCAGTTATAACTTTTTTGTTTTAGAATCTTGGGACTATCCTACTTTTTTTGTTCACGAAGTCTTGACAGTGAATGCGAAAAATATTCCTGGAATGTATATTCAGGAGTTATCACGGAAATATGTTTGGCGAGTTTACTTTTGTGGGCAAGGAGGTATCAGAAGCATTCATATTCAGCTTATAAATTTTTGATTTTAAATAATCTCATGAAGTTTGGCAGTATTTGTAAAAAATTTAAATTTAATTCATTTTCAAACTGTTGTTTTACATAACTTCAAATAGAATATCGTTGCCTTCAACGGAATACACAGCAGAAATAGAAAATCATTCGATTGGTTCTCAGAATTCATATCTTCTAACACCAGTTGCAATAATTTTATGGGTTCTTCTGTTTCCGTCTTGGCTAAACTTTCTCTGGATTCTCGCGTCTTGGTTCCTGTTTTCACTAATCGGAGAAAGAAAACATCGATTGCTTACAGCGCCTTTCATCTTAATATTTGCATCTGTAAGTTTCTAAATCATTTAATGTATCCTCAAACTGAAAGCAGTAGTAAATTCGATCTATTTCAACTATGAGAGAATCTTATTGACACGAAGTTTGGCTTATTATTTGCTTTTATTTTAATTTTACTACTGCTATTTTTTTTAATTTTACTACTGTTTCATATAAGCTCCAAGAATTAATTACTTGTGTTGCTTAAAAATTTCAGGGTTTACTTATAACCCAGTACATTTCTGGTTTGGCAAACTTTCAAGGAAGCACTTTTGAAAAATTAGGATTACATTCCGCAAGTGGATCAGCTGCTTTTTATCCTTTATTAATAAAGGTTTGTTATCAGTAGAAACATCCCATGTATCCTTACCGTTTTACTTTTATATTAGATATTTGGTACACATACTTTGTAACGAGGATGAAAATTTATTAGATATGGAACTGTAGTTTAGTATATGTTACTTTTGAATACAAAATTATATATTAAGTTTAACTGAAGTACTTCAGTCACCTTCGTATTTTATTGAAACGGTGTGAAGAAAATACATGTTTCAGATGATTCTCGTAATACCTTTTTATTTGATGCGTTATTTGGACGGTAGATATTTAGAAATGCCAGGAAATATTCCAGATGAACCCATATCATTAGTACGAAGGTTATCTGTTACAGCGGTTTCTTTGGAAAGAACTAATCGTGTGGAGTGGATTACACCTTATGTCTGCCTTTTTGCTTGTAATTTTTCAGTTTTATTATTATTTAAAGTTAATATTTAGAAGTGTGAGTCAGTTGCCTCTAGACATTTAAGCTTTATAATAAGTTCATCAGCACAGGGTATTTTTTTGGAAATAAACTAGATTTGTTTTTAATTTCAATTTGCTTCAGTACTTTTCCTTCCTGATCTCTAGTTACTTTTTTGACTAATATTTTAAGGTATATTATACGTCTGTTTATATTATATGTATGTCTTGTTATATGACGACTGGCCATCCTTATCACCGGATCAGTGGTTATCTCCTGTTGTTTGGGCTCTAACATCTGCTCTGTGGTTGCCTTTTATCTTTATCTTCATCTTAATATTTGTGCACATAAAAAGGTTTGTTTTTCTACGATATTTGTAAGTGCTTCAATTTTTTTAATACAGCATTGTTTTTCTTCATTTTAGTTCTCTTATGATGAGGCATCATGATTCTTTGTATAGAAGGGCAGTATCGTTTTATTAGGAGGTTGTTTCTAAATTCTTGATACATACAATTTAGGCTTGATACATGTGTAGGCATTGTTCGGAAACCAAACTCTTTATTATCTCGTGCATTAGCAGCAAGCTATGATACTGTAATAGCAGTATCACTGTGTGCTTTTGCGAGCTATGAATTATCTGTTACTGGAATCGTGCTCATAATGCTATCAATTGTGATTTTCATCTCAAAGGGACGGAAATGTAAGAAGAACTATGCTTAAAATTCTATTTAAAAGAGATTTTCGAAAGACTTTTTTTGCATAAATATTTTGGATTTTTTTTTGCTCCAAATTTCTTTCAGGTACAATTGTATGCTCTGCAGCTGCTCTGTTATTGTCATTGCAATGGTTGATATCGTTTATGACGTATGCCTTTCGCTTACCTAACTATTCGTATCCCCAAAATTGTACATCGAGTCCCAAAATCATTATAGATCATAACACAGCGAAATGGCTTGGATTCAGTTTAAATGAGGTTGTTCACTATTAAATATAAAGCAATGATTTATGTCATGTAGAATATCCAAATGCTTGATTTATTATTAAGTTAATTGTAAAAGGATTTTTTTGTTCTCTTAAAAATTTTAGTTTACAGATGTGGACAGTTGTAATATTGCTACTTATAATATCAATGCGTACCGCGTTTTCCAGTGAATGTTCAAAATGGTTGGTTGAAGTGCAGAGATCTGATGCTGAACAAGTGATTTTTTGTCTACCCATCGAATAAAAAACATTTTTTTAAAGTTTTTGTTGAACAAAAACAGTAATTGTTAATCTTACTAATTTTGTCTAAATTAACCACCACGCATTTCAGGATGTGGCATCTCTTGTTAAATTCCTTTTTAAAAACTGGATGTATAAATTCGGTGTTGAAGTAAGTTCTTACCAAAATCTGCAAAGCAAGTTTTCAGCAAAGATTGAATAATTAGCATGTTCTCATAACTTGCAACTTGTCACAATCTTTTAGTTCTGATGAATTAGTTGAAATCTAGGTTTGTTCAGTCTTTGGAATAGTCCTTGCATGTCATCACCACGACATGTTTGGACTATATTTCTTGGTAATGGTTTCCTTATTACGTATATCCACAAGACGGCGGCAGAAACTTTTTTGGACTTTTTATGCCAACCTGTCGTTGATAGTTTTGATAATAGAATATATGTCCGCGCTCGGCCTTCCTCAACAGGTTTTCATTGTTCTTATTATTTTGCTTTAAATATTTACTGAAGTAAATATAATAATTCAATAGATTTTTGAAAAACGTAAGTTTCTTTCAGTTTTCTCACTGCCTTGACTATCCTTGGAATCACTGGAGTCCCGAAGTGAAGAAATTTCTAGTTATACCGTTCAGAATGTCATCATCTCCTATGATTGTTGCTGATTATATTTTTCTTCTACTAATTTTGGTGCAGAAATATGTATTTGATAGAGAGGTTAGATTTTTAAGTAAAATTTGATAAAATTTCTGAAGCTATTAGCTTGTCACAAGGAAAGTTATTATTGTAAAAAATTTGCTTGCTGATATTATACCAAAAATGTGAGGATAGCATAATTGATTTTGATTCAGAGCAATTATTCTGAAGATAACAATATTCCATTATCGGAGATTAATTTCAATCAACCTATTCCAGCAATGTATAATGATTTTATATCAACTAAGGGGTGAGTTTGTCAGCTATAATTTTCAGCATTATATGTTTTGAAAATTTAAAATCACATTTTCGGATATTTGATTATTAATTCTTATTAGTTTCAGGAATCTTTTAGCTTATGTGCATACGGCAGTTTTTCTGTATTCTCATTGGGTTTCAATGATAATCATTCTTCTGTGCAGCATTGAAGGCGCTTCAGTACTCAATTTTGGTTACACCGTTGCAGTGTTTTTATTTATGTGGAAGGGCACTTCCTTATACGCTTGTCGTTCATTCAAAAGTGTTCTTATGTGTTGGAATTGTCTCGTCTACTACAATATTTTCCTTCTTGTTGTCAAAGTTCTGTATCTGGTATGTGTAGAGGTATTTTGATAAGTCTGTGAAAAAGTCATTAGTTTATTATTATATAGCATACAAAAAATTTATTATTTTGATTTTTTGTTTTGTAAGTTCTTCATTTTGATTCGAAAATGTTTAAATTGCTTCTTGTGCTTTTGCCCTTTGCATAACTTTTTCTGCTTTTTCAGGATGCATCTTGTGGGTTTGGTTTCACTTTTCCTTGCTGGCTAGAGCGAATTCTCGGACTCCGCTGTGTTAGTAATAAATGTTTCAGTCATCATGAAACGACAAGTTTGATTTATGACATGATATGCTTCGCTGTTTTAACATACCAAATGCGTGTGTTCAATTCGTGGTATTTCCAGTTCGTTATTATCGATTACAGAGCTGATCGCATTCTTGGCACCAGGTATTTCAGATAATATTTCATACAGTTTTGTCTGCGGAGTAGATTTAATTCTTTGTGAGTTTTAAAAAAAAGACTTGGTGAAATTCTTACTGCTTGATTGCTAATTACCACTCAATCTGTCTCTATAATTTTTCTCTGTCATTTTTCTTTTAGAGGAGCTGAACTGCTACTAGAATTGAAAGAACGAGAAGCACAGAAAAACTTGCGTCTAGTTCAAAGCAATGTGAGATGGCTACAAAAAATGGTTGAAGAGGAAGATAAACAAACACCAAGTTCAGTTGGACCTCCGCCTCGATCTCACGAAGAAATTAAAAGGTATTTTAAAACATTATTGGCTTTACTAAAAGAAATATCATGTACGTATTTTGCAGATCTGGTTATTATCACCAAGTGAGTGAACGTTTCTTTCCGTTGCCAAATACAAGTGTTGATTTTGATCGAGAACAGAGGTTGTATCACGTTCAGCAATTTGAAGAATCTTTGTTTGAAAATATTGACAGTGCCACTATGGTGGAAAAGACTGTGGAGGTTGGTTTTACTCACATTCTCAGTGAATTAATGCAAATTTTTTTAAAAGCAGTGAATTAGAATATATTGACATCCAAACTACATTCAGTTTTATGAGAATCAAATTTTAGTTCTGCCTGAGTATGTCTTTCTCGCAAAAACTTTTTTGATCCCTAAAAAAATATTTTAGGTACTTGATAGTATAAGAGTGACTGCGATGCATATTTTCCAACTTTTGAATAACCCAGAATGGTTATATCAAATATCTAAAGGAGACGCGTATGTGGCTCATGTTTTGGATAGTGATAAAAAACGGATCAAAGCTATTTTGAAAGATGTAATTTTTTTTTAATTTTGGGTTAACTTCTATGCAAATAATGATCATGCGGTAGCTTAAGAAATTCTTTGCAACATCTTATTAATACTCTGAACATCATTAAATTAAGAACGTCAGTAAGAAATTGCAGTTATTTCGTATTGCTGTATTTTTTATGGTATTTTTGTTGTATATATGTTTGGCCTATATTAGAGGAAAAGTAGTTTTTCATATAATTATTAATAATATGCAGCGATTACGTGTTGCGGATACAGCAGATAAACTGCAAGCGCTGCATGGAGAGCTTATGCTTCGAGAAGATTTTCAATCAGTTGCTTCTTCAGAAGTACTTTGGAACGAAGCACTGAATGAATATCTTTCTATACATTCAGCCTTTAAATTTCTTTATTGGTAAGTTGAAATTTAACATACTTTAAATAATCATCATGTTTCACTGAAAAACATATTAAATTTTTTAGTTCAGTTTGTGTTTTTCAAAAATACACTGCTACAAAAATACTAGCATTATTTGTTTTTATATTGGAAAATCAACGTATCTTGTAAGTACTCGAAGCTTTATTGCTGATCGTGAATTTCTAATTTTCAGCTTTTCACATGCTATTATGGCTCAATCAGAGCTTATCTGTTTTTTATTCATGCTCATCGTTCATCTTTCGAAATCGTCGTTGATAACGTTTCCTTTGCCACTAATGGTTTTTTTTACTTTTTTTTTCGCTAACGGTAGTATTTAGTTTTCGAGATTTTTTCGTTTTAGTAATTTTGACGCTGGAATTTCACAGCACTCTCATTTTGAATAGGAAATTGTTGTCTTTTTTTTTTTCCTTTGCCACTAATTGAAGAGCTTTGACTATTTGAAGGAGCTTGAATTTTAACTTTTGATGCCATGCTATCATTTAATGAAAACATTTTGTCATCCCTAAAATTATTTTAAGGTATTTTTCTGGGGTGTGCTTGCTATTCCTCGTCCACCAAAATCTTTCTGGGTCATAACGGCATTCTATATCCAGTCCATCATTGTTTTTCGATTACTGTTTTGTAATGAGTTGGTTTTTGTACCAGGGGAGGAAGAACATGCTCCAAATAATAATCCTTTCAGTATTCGAAGGTCTTATTTTGTTTCTTCTCTTGTTCGTTTTGGAGTTTCTGCTATTAAAAGCTGCGATCTACATATTTGTAACATGTCACATTTCCTTTACCCAACAAACAGAGTCTCAAGTATTTTATTGTATAACGTGAAGCAAAAAATTAATTTTTTAAAATGAGTGGCAAAGTATTTTCTTATTTGTCGATTTAAAAATTTGTTCACACTCTTAAATGTAGTCCTTAAAGTTTTGATTCGAAATGTTATTTTCCAATTTTTAGATTATTAGCACTGGATCCAAGTATTAGCGGATCATATTGGGATGTTGCTTTGCTTGCGATGGTTTTCTTACATCGTTACAAATTACTTAGACTTGGCATGTGGCTTGATGATTTTCAAGTACAAGAGCGACACATGGGGTTACACGAAGAGTATGAGCAGGAACAAAGTGATGAAAATGAGGTTTAGTTTTTTTAATTTTCGGTTAGGAAGTTGATGTTTCTTTATATAACTCTTTTAAAACTATCAGATTTTATCAACTTTCTAAAATTTTAATATTTTAAATATTTTTGAAATTTTTAGTCATCATCTTGTGAAATGTTTTGTAAAGCTCTGTTGATGAAGAAGAACCAATCAACTATGGATTGGTATCCGTGGATGGTAGGATGTGATGCATTGTGCTTAGTTCTTATATCCTTTTTTTATTCTATGATGGGTCAAGGAGGTTCAGGAAATGTTCTTTTGGATGTACAGGTAATTGAATACATAGCAATTATTAGCTTTAATTCGAATTTGCAGATAATATGTTATATACTCAGTACACATTATGATGCTCAAAATCTTTAGAAAGAAATTTTGATCATATTTTTTTCAGAGTTAATCTAACTGAGACAGTTCCAAATTTATATCTTTCACATTATAACAGGTTTCACGACTGCCGCGGTGGTTTGCTTATACTTTGATTTGTGTGTTTGTTTTTATGATCATTGATCGATGGCTTTATCTCTCGAAACAAATTAAATTCCGTTTCATATACTACATATGTCTCGTTGTTTTGCTACATATAGTGATTTTTTTTTTCGTGCCCTCAATCACAGGTTACCTGTTTTCTACATTTTTACCAAATTTCTGCTGGACTCAAATTATTTGGTCCTTTTTTTGAGGAATTACCAGAACCAACAGTAGAAATCATTAATTACCAACAGTAGAAATCATTAATTTGCAAGTGCTTTGATTTTTTGAATATTAATCTGCTAGTGATAGCCGCAAAACACAGCTATATGACCTTCGTTTCAGGATCTATTTTGTTCTTCATGTTGAATTCTACTGTTGTGATATAGTCATGAGTAATGATGTACTTTGTTATTATGTTCGGATTTGAAATGGCTCAAATATACGAGTATTTTTAGGTCGTATGGTGACGTGGAATGGGGTAGCAATTTCCTTGTACCTTATTAAAAGTGCTTATTTGTTAATGAGTGCGTGGCATATGCGGAATGGCTATCCATCCGTAATGAATTGTGACATATTAAGTAAAGGTTTTGGGATTTTCCGACTAATAATATTAAAAATGTACGATTTCATATTTATATTAAAAAATTTCAATTTTGTAATTTGATTTCTTGTCACTTTTGCTATTGAAAATCATTAAAATTTTACTGGTACTGTTAGAAACGAGACAGATAAACCAATTTCTATTAAATAGAGTAAGTTTGCGCTGCCACATGTAATTTTTATTCAGATATCTTAACATACCATTTCTTTTCGAACTACGAGCCGCTATGGATTGGACGTTCACTTCGACAGCTCTTACCATGGGAGATTTTATTCGTATGGAAAACTACTACAATGAAGTAGAAGCACAACACTGCTGGATCCAATTCGATCATTGGATTGACAATGTTGTTTCGATTTTGTTCATAACTCATTACTTGTGCTTTTACATTTTCTGACAAAATGAATTCAGATCCACCATTTAAAATTTTTCGAAAACTTTGCTTATATTATAAATGAAGTCTACATTTTGTACTTAATATTCTTGCAAAGACTTTGCTTTGTCTATATTTTAAAACAGCAGCAAATATTTTTAGTGTTTCTTGTGCTAATGTATTCTTCACCTAAAAAATTGTGGCTGATATTTTAATGTGCAGTCTTTTCAGTATTTTCCTACACGAAAAGGTCGGCCGACGCCAACATCTGGAAAATTTTTTAAGGGTGTACTGTCAGTAACTATATTAATAATTATTATATTAGCACCTATATTGCTTTTTGCATTTTTAAACAGTTTCGGAACAAGAGCCCCACCAAAACGTTTGCATGTCGTTGCGTCGATAGAAGGTTATCCAGTAAGTCATTTTATAAAATTTATTTTGAATTTTTTTGTTGAATAGTAGTGTTCGGTAGTCTCGTGTTGTAGATCTTGCCGAAACAGGTCACTGACTTCACTTGCATAAGCTAGTTGAAGCTTGCAAATTCCAGCATTCAAAACCGTATTTTAACTATTTATTTTTATTAGCGTCAAATGTTCAGGCACTGTATTCAACCGATACAGTATTTAGCGATAAAGCAAGTTCGCATTTCTCAGAACGAAACATGCATGCGTTGATTGAGGAATTGACTAGTCTAGAAGAAAGTGATATTAAACGTAGTGCATTGTCTTTCATCTCAGATTATACGTCGAAGGATATATTCTTGATTAATTTGACATCAGATTCGCTTCAAAATTGGGTTATTTCATTACCAGGGAAAGAGAAATTGTTGAAGGAACTACAGTCTTCAAAGGTGTGTGTTCTCATTTTTCAGTTTTTCACATATATGAAATATAAAAAGTCAATAGTTCTTATTTTAGTCAACTCGAATAGTTTTCGAAATGTCTCTAATGCGGCCGGTTGGGTCTACATTGCGATCACATAATTTTTTCCTCGCAACACTACTAACTCCAATGCAGTCCAAGATATTTTTCGATTTGATCAGTGCAAATAAGACTTCTGCCAAATTGAATTTCCCAGTTGCTCAATTCTTATTTGCCCCGCCTAACGGTCATTTACAACCAGCTTCTGCTGTTAATTTGGCTTTAAAGCGATGGAACTCTGTAAGCACATGGCAGTATCATGGGGAATACTGGAGTGTCACGTAATTTTCTTATTGTTATTTTTCAAGTTTCTTAGCACAAATTGAGACGATTTCACTTTAATATATGTGACGTCTGCTAAACAGAAAACGATGAACTTTTTATGAATTTCGTGTTTGTATTGAGGGTTGTCTTTGCTGCTTTTCTATTTTTGTTATTCCTTACAGATATCTGTCCTTTTAGATGGGAACAACAGATTGTGATATTTGTGGATCGAATCATGCCATCTTGGATGAGCATAATTGTTGGTTCTGGTGGAATGGTTGCTATGTACGTTGCCGTTATCTTAGTTGTTGGTCGATTTGTTCGCGAAATCGTACGAACGCCAGTACATAATGCTATGGTTGGTGTTAGTTCTAGTTATTATATTGTTACCGTAAAGTAGCTGTCATGGGTGAATATTCAGAATTTTTAATATACCTTGCTAAATATTCTCTAATCATATTATATTAGCATGTTTGTCGATTTAGTTTGACCTCATTCAGACATTTGGCATTTAAACGTTAATTTTGATAATTCTTTAGAGTTTCTATAAAAGGAGATTCTATGATCTCTATTCGGAATTTTTTTATTTCCGTTTAATATCATTAAGCCTTTTGCATCTTTTTTAAAAAAATTGTAGTTGCAATATCTGTTTAAGTCCTGAAAGTTCATGAATTTTCTTCCGCAAAATTTATGCATAGTATGAATTGTGAATCCTATTACATGAACATATAAGTGTTGCAATTATGAATAAATACTCTCCTTTCAGAATTTTATTTGATGATTCAATGTTTCAGATTGAGAACATTCCAAACTGTGAAAACCTTTTGCGTCTGTTCCATGATATTTATGTAGTACGAGAAAAGCGGCTTTTTTATCTAGAATCTCGTTTATACGGAAAACTTGTATTTCTTATGCGGTCACCAGAAACTCTAATACGTTGGTCTCGATATCGTGTGAAAGTGAAAGATGAATGAAACAAATCAGGTCCTTAAATAAATTGTTTCGGTATGTACAGTAATTCATTTATAACACGAATAAACAAATTCTCCTAATGTATCGTTTCTTTCTACGCTGTGGAATACAATCTTTTACATGAAAAAATTGTGTCGAATTATTCATATAAAAAACGACAAATGCACCAACAATCTCTTAGATTTCAAGGAAATTTTTACTTAAACCCATGTTGTAGTAACAGCCAGTAAGTGAACAACCGAAGTTTTATTAATTGAACTGCTGTTCGAGAGTGTCACAAATTTTGATTGCCTTACTGCATTAATATTTCTTGAGGTCATCTACAAGTGCAACTGATATGATTCATGTTGTTTAAAGATTCACATCGTACTCAGTTATGTTCCAACGCGTAATTTTGTACTAATTCAACTTAATGTCTTCCTAATCATTAACGATACTTTGACTTTTTAGCTTGGGAAAAGGATTCTACACAATTTTAGTTCCAAACGTAACATGCGCAGTCATACGTTTATTTTAAAATGTAATTCATTTTTGGGAGTATATTGAGGCAAGTAAATATTCGCATATGCCTTTCAAAGTTACTTTTTTTATTTTCTAGCAAGAATTTTTGACAAGAAATAAATAGGACAAAACATGCTGTAAATAATGATAGATTTTTGAAAGAAAAATGAAAATTTAGATTTTAAAGCATTATCGAATATCAACATAACGGAAATAAATTAACAGTTTAAGCAAATGCTGCTAGAACAATGACGAATTTAAGCTAAATTTAAGCTATATAAGTGTAAGATTGTGTTCGTATCGCTCAAATAAAATGTGTAGAAAAATTGACTGGCAACACAACGATTATAATCAGTACAATTTGTATCAAACTAAGAATTCGATAAATAATTTTCTATAGCATTCCGCGATGCAAGAGTATTGTCACAAGAATAAAGCTTACAAATTTCTCGATACTAAAGAGTAATAAAACAATTAGTCCAAAGAAAAAAAAAATACAAACAAGTATACTCGACATTTAAGAAAATTATTGCGAAAGGAAGTCTTTAGTTCCACTATTTTCATTATTTGCCGAAAACTTCTTTTTATTGACATTGACTGACAACTGTTCGAAATCCTTGGATAATTGGAACTGAGCATAAACCATCGTTTCGTTCTGCAGAAAAAAATATTGAAATACTAAAAATTAAAAAAACAGTATAAAAAATTAGTTCAGTAATAAAGTCCAGTATCCACCCAGCCAAATTAAAATTATCTACTTTAGCGGTCTCAGAGAATTTAATTGCTTTTAAGATATATAATAGACATTTATACCGGTAACTGGAGGAACTGGAAGTTATTTCGATGGTAACCGCGAAATATCAGGTCCGACAAACTCTTCTGTACCTTCAATCCTTCATTTGACAATTCATTCGAGAAAATTGTAAGCAAGAATTTTTTTGGTCTAAAACACATCTTTATGACCGCATATATCGAAAAAAATTTCCCAAAAAAGCTCATTTAAAAATAAAAATAAGTCCCAGCTGGTATAATACATTCATTCAATCCTCATTAAAAAATAACCTGAAAATTTCAACGACTTCCAGCATTTGTTCACACAAATTCAAAGTATTTTGGTTAGTTTCAAAACTAACATATGAAAAATTGGGTTCTGGTGTAACGTGAATCGTAATGTACTGGTCCTGAAAAAAGTGATTTGCAAATGGAAACAAAAGTCATGAACTAAATTTCAAGACCGAAGAAATTGATTTAAAACGTACCGATTTTGGAATCAGACCATTTAAACTATAACCGCATGGATTAAATAATTCCTCATGAACGATAGTATCCAAAGGAATTATCGTATTGATGGCAGATTTCTACAAACATTTTTTGAAACAAATGTATATGAAGAACGTTGCATTTTATACTGCATGGATGAAAAACTGTTCAAAAAATTTTCCATTGATGAATACAAAACCTTTACAAAATTCTAGCTATTTAAATTTTACTATGATACCATCCTACAATCCTTCCCATCTTTGCTCACTATAGTAGTGAATACACTAAGAACATCTTCCGGTAATTCCGTCATCAATATTTCGAGCGTATGCTCCGGGAACGGAAAAGCAGCCTTCGGAACAACCATTGTATACAAAAACCAACAATCTTTTCTTTGTGGGCCAATGTAATAAGCCGAACCTCCTGAATTGGAATACAAGATATCTATAAATTTTTAAAAGCAGTGAATATAGATTTTTTTGAAACTAGAAACGAAAAATAGAGCCTTCAAATACTGAACATACCTGGAAAATATTTTTCGAGATAATCAACTTCCGTTTCAAAGGATGAATGTGGAAAAGGTTGTTGCCCAGGTTGCATGAAGTTTTTCCTTGAATAGAATACACTAATAACATTATCCATATTGCAGTACACTTTTGCAAGTTGCAAGATTCGTTCCACAGCATGAAGTAAGCGTGTTGTACCACACGTCTTCAAAATGATGCGAAAATTTGAGACAAACATGCTGCTCTCACTGCAAAATGTTCAGATAGCAACTCAAATACATTACAGGAGTAATATTCAAAGAGCTAGACTCGATGTAATTTGCATGATACCTTAAAACATAACTATCCATGCAACCATTGCTTCTAGAGTGCAATATGTGGCAGTCAGCGATATCTAGCATAACAACTAATTCTGCATAAGGAATATTTCTCAGTGATTTAGCTCCGTCTTGATCTTTATCGAACCATATCTCGATCAATTTTTCTGTGCCTTAAAAAGACTAAAATTCAAATCGTCAAAACCTGATATTTAAAAGTTCTTGAGCATTTGCTATTTTTTTTAAATCAACAGTTTTACCAATTGAACATTTTTTAAGTACCTACAATACTGCATCAACCTAAGAAATTTAATATCCGATTATTTAGTACACTGAGTGATGCTTCAAAAACATTAATGGAGTATTTCAGATGCTTATAAGCCTTTAGAACACCAATATGATAGCTTATTTTAGCAGAAAGAATATATCATTAAATCGACACATTAACGTAACGATTACAAATTATTTAATAAAGGCCACTCATCTGAATCTTCACATTTTCCTTACTGTACTTTTTTTTGGATTGTAAGGGCACGGAGTGTAATTCGTAACTTCTACTTTTTGTCTCCATGCTGTCTCCACATTTTGCTTTGTGCCTCCACATTTCAAATAATTTTTTAAAGCCAAAACTGACTCAAAAAACTGTAATATATGAAACAAATAGGGAATTCTTCTAAGAAAGCACCGACAATGCGGTAAAAATTTACCTTCAAAAAAATAATTGCTAGTTGCGAACATAATGAAAATTAAAGATGTAAACACCGACACTCGTTTTGCCTTGTAACAATAGCTGTAAATAAATATTATCTTACTCATAAATATTCATAAAAGTCTGAAAATAAATGTAATTCAACTTTGATTGTATTCATGAAATAATATAAGCAGCTACAGACTTAAGATTTTCAAAAAATTGCAATTAAATATTTTGAGT